GCTTTGACACAGACTACATAAATAGGTGGAGTCTAATGCCCCTACCCTTCAATGCAGATCATAGGCACTAAGTAACTAACTTCGTAGACTAAGTTGAAAGACTGATTCTTCCTGGGACATCTGCCTTTGAAAACTTGAGTTACAATGCTGGAGATACCATGTGGAGAACCAAATAAAAATAGAATTGAGATAACTAAGGTCTTCCATGTCCCAGCTATTCAGTCTTCCTAGCACAGGCACTTGGTGGAAACCTTCGAGATGTGCTCCAACCACTGTTTGATTGTAACCTTATAAGAGATTCAGAGCCCAACCACCCAACTCATTTCTGAATTCCTGACTTAGGCACCATGAGAGATCATGGTGATTACTGCTATTTTAAGACACTAAGTCTTGATGTGATTTTTCATGCAAAATAGACACTTAATTTGTGGGGGGTAGCTTCTTTTGTTAGATGGGAGCAGGGATGTTTTGTAAATTTTAAATGTAGAGTAAAACGTGAATGTTAGAGTGAAGAAGCAAACTATATTGGACAAATGTTATTATTTTTAGTCACTTCACAAATGAATCCTCGAGCCATGCTTTATTAGACCATTCATTTTAGAAAACTAAACTATTTTCCCAGCCTCCTGTGAAATTATGTAAGCCACTGAAATGGCTTTTTGATGTGCCGATTAGGCTAGGATGAGCCTCGGTCTCTAGAATTGCCTTTCTAGTGTGGTCCTGCACAAGACGTCCTACAAGAGAGAATCTCTCCGGACAGCTGAAGGGCAGACGTGAAGTGACAGCCACTTTGTACCATTCTCACACCTTTTCCATTCAAGTTATCATGGTTATGAAGTTATCATAGTTGAGGTACTGCTGGAAAGGGCTTTTCGGATATAATTGATGTCTCAAATCAGTTGATTTCATGTTAATCTGAAGGGAGGTTATGCTGGACAGGCCCAACTTAATCGTGTGGAAGTTCTGTAGGGAGGTACTGGGCCATCCTTGAGGTTGAGACTCCAAGCAGCAGAAGTAAACAGAAACCTGGAAAACATGTCTACATTTTTTCAGCACTCACTTTGTTGCTGATCTGCTGGTTTGACTCACTGACATAAAGCAGCAGCAGTGCCTACAACTGCTCTCCCTATACTCTGGATCCACTCTAGTTTTCATAACTCCTGGGCCAGCTGTGTACATTCAGTTTCACAACCAATGTCCTTGGCTTCTTCAGGACACCTTAGTCACCAAGGTCAGCAGCAATAAGGACAGACATTATCCAATCCATCCTTGTGGGGTTCTAGCTTATGCTTGTAGGGTTGCAGTCTACTCATGACCTTCTCTTCCCAATTGCCAAAATATTGGCTTCAGGTTCAAATATTACACAGCCTTGCAGAGAAAAACTAATCGGCCAGCCTCAACACTCATGTAAGATAACGTCCGGTAACAAGTCCTAGTGGTTCTACTTCTTTGGTTCAACTCTGACTGATAAGCACACATTGTGAGATCTGTCTCCATTGTATTAGGTATTGCTGTATTACCCCATGAACCTTGGCAGCTTAAAACAAGTATTTATTATCTCACCATTCCTGTGGGCCAGGAATCTGGGACAACTTAGCTACACGCCACTGGTTCAGGTTCTCTTACAGGCTGAAATCAAAAAATTAGCCAAGACTGCAGTCCTCTCAAGGTTCAAGTTGGAGGCCTTGAGGTTGGCTATTGATTCCAAGCCCTTGCACCTGGCTGTTGACAAACTTCAAGTATTCACTGGCTGTTGGCCATAAAACACATTTCTTGCTACATGGTCTTCTCCATGGACAGCTCATAATATGGCAGCTGGATTCCCTCAGAGCAAGAAAACAAAGAGCAAGAAAGGGTGCTCTGTTAGCTCGCTAGCACTACCATAACAAAATGCCATAGACTTGGTGGCTGAAAAAACAAACTGATCTTCTCATAATTCCAGCAACTAGAAGCCCAAGATCAAGGTGTCAGCAAGCTTGTTTTGCTGACCTGTCAGGCAGCAAGGCCTCTCTGTGGCTTGCAAATGGCCATCTTCTCATTGTGTCCTCACATGATTGAGCCTCTTTGTGTTGTCTGTGTTCTAATCTCTTCTTATAAAAACATCTATCATATCAGATTAGGCCCCACCCTAATGACACCATTTTAACTTAATTACCTCTAAAAAGCCATGTCTCTTAATGGTCACATTCTAAGTTACTGGAACTTAGGCCTTTGACATGTGAATATGGAGTGATGCCATTACTTAGCTGTTAATAAGCAAAATATGTATAATGTAATATAACACCCCTTCACGTTTGCTGTATTTTGTTCACTAGAAGCTACTAAGTCCAGTTCATAATCAAGATTACATGTTATATAAGAGCATGAAACCAGGAGGCACAATCATTAGAAGCCAATTTAAGGCTATCACACCAATTTGAGGCAGTGGGAACGAGACATTCACTTCCCCAGGCACCCTTGAAATTATATGTGGGAATGTGGCCGATGCTCTATCAAATAGAATCCTGTAGGCAAAGAAACAGGGGCCATACTGAACCCAATCTAGGAAAGAAGTGCCACCACACTGGTGAAATAATTATCAACTGTCTACATTGTCTGCAGGGCAGCCTGTTGGTTTTCTCTGCAATGGGGCATCAGTATAAACATCACTCTAGCAAACTGTAGTGATTTGTGGTATTGTGGATGATTTTAGAGCCTCGTGACCTCGTTCTGCGGCTATAGATTCTCCAAGTTACTCAGTCTTCTTTAACGTATTATCTAAAACAGACAGAGTTGTTTTGTTTCTTCATATAAGAACTCCAACTAAGAAAATACCATATTCACAACCATGTTTAGACCCTTTGGCCATGGTCAGACCAATGCCCTTGGTTGGGGTGTATGTGTATAAACACATGGTTGCCTGAACTCATTTTTTCACAGCTTTTCACACGTCCAGTAGCCCCACCCCTGTGTCCAGCATGCCACCTGCAGTTGCCAGCCAAGTTGGGAGACTGTTTTGATGAGTTGGGCCATCAATTCAGATCTCTATCAGTGGAGATCTGGAACTGCACATGTCAGTACTGGGGAGTTGTTGCCACTACAGTGTCCATAAGACTCCTTTGTTATCAACCCTATCGATCACTACTGCTGTCTCCAAAGAGGGCTTCTACTTATTCTTACTGTCTGCCTGTACCAGTACTACTCTCGGCATATCCAAAGCATTCTCCAAAGCATACCAGTGTACACTTGGTCTGTGTCAGCTGTGCTATTTAATCATATGTACACATGTCCTGTTTTAAAACTATAAATGAAGTCTTAAAAATAAATTAAAATGTGTATCTTACATTTCAAAATAATCCCATTTAGACATGTTTTTCACTTTGGTTTTATTTTGTTTTGAACTGTGTTTCATCTTAGTAAAGATCTATTCCTTTTAGTTTCATTAGTTTAGCTTTCTTTTTTTTTTTTTTCAGACACAACTGTGCTAGTCTTGAAGTTATTTTAACCATCTGTTCCTCTAAGTTTTGTATCTGTTAGAGACAAATAATAAATACTTTGAGGGGTGATAACTTTGAGGCTTTATTGAGAAAAATGCTTATCCCTAAATAAATGCCTTATACATATTATAAGCTCAAAAAAATGGGCTACTACCCTTAAAATAATATTACCTAAGGAGGAGTAATAATACAATTTCTTCTAATGTTGCCTGTTCATGATTGAAGAAAAATTATTTAACTCCTGCTTGTTCTATGAAAACCTAGGAAAAAAATGTCAGTTTCTATAAGTAACAAAGCTGTAATTTGATTACCTGTTTTTAAAAGTCTGATATTTTATCATTATCTTAGGTCACAGTGTATACCATAAAAATATTCAATACTGCATGCAAAAATGTTTACATTAACAAAGTATAACAGATATCAAAAGCTTATTAAGTAAATATGTTCAATGTTATTTTTGTTTTGCCATATACCCAGGGTAATTCCCTAGATATAAACTGTGGCAAAAACTTTTCTGAAAAGATGGATTAAATTTATGGAAAAAAGTATGTTTAAACCACCTTTTAAATATTTCCTGATAGAATGGCCCACAGAGTGGCCTTGATTTGAATCTTTACATCTTCCACTTTTATTTTCCTCAACAATATTACTATATCCATCCATACGATTTTAAAGACAGCCGCCCCTTTTAACGTTCTCTAGGTCAAAGTAAGGGAATGCCTCCTTATAACTGCAAGTGAAGCTATAAAGAAATGCTTACATAACTATACAAAAGAAAACCTGAAAAATAAAAACTAATTACAGCATTAAGAACACAGCCTACATGTTATAGGTTTCAGATCTTACTACAGTAATTTCACCTCTATTGGAAAAAAAGGAAAGAAGGGAAAAAAGGTGGGAGGGAGGAGGGAGAAAGGATTAAAATTAATATTGTTGGATTCTATAAACACAAATATTTTGCATCTGAGAAATTTTGCCTGTTGTTCCTCAATCAGGTCCCCCACCCACTCCAGGATTGCCCTTTTAAAGTTTTCCTAATTTAGGAGCAAAGTTTTCTGTAAATCACAGTAAGTGATAAGTACAGTTAATCAACAGTTCTTGAAGAACAATAGTTTATGATGTTTTCTGGTGACATTTAGCACATTGAAAATTGCATTGATTTTACTGTAACATTGCAAAATTATAAATACATTGTAAATTGTAATTTTTACAATTTACAATATAAAAATACGTATACATTATTTTCTAGACATACAGGGAAAATTCAATTCCAGGATATGTTTTAGAATATAAAAAGTCCAAAGAGAGAACATAGGAATAGATGTTTTTAACTCCCAAACATTAACGTACTTATTTTGTATTTCCCCTTTTAAGCTTACTAGTATTTTAAAGTGGAAATTATATTTGTATGGCCTGTCCATAGATGTTATGTAAAATGACCTGTATGGCATATATGTAAATAACAGTCTTGCACTACCACATGTTAAACTCTAAATGCTAATTATTATTAAGAGCTGCAGACAGGAAGGGGCGGAGCCGCAGGGGAGGAAGCCACCGTACACCGCGGTGCAGAGGGAGACCAGCCGCCGCTTAGTGTCCCCACCCTTCACCGGCCTGGCCACCGGTCAGGTCACCCTCGACGCCAAGCAGCGACACCATGGCCATCGCGGCGGCTCCGTCTTCCTTGGTCCTCGGGGTCTCGAGCCCGGCCGCGGCCCCCACCTCCTACGGGGTATTCTGCAAGGGGCTCTCCCGCACCCTGCTCGCCTTCTTCGAGCTAGCCTGGCAGCTGCGCACGAATTTCCCGTACTTCTACGTGGCAGGCTCGGTGATCCTCAACATCCGTTTGCAGGTACATTTTTAGAGCCGCGGCTAAGCTAACGGTCTGCGGGCGGCGCAATGGCGGACTCCCGGGCGGCCCGGTTGCGCAGCGGAGCGGAGCTGCGGTCGGGGCCTCGTCCGTCTCGCGAGAGTCCCCTCTGCGGCTGCGCGCACCGCTCTCAGCCCAGAGCCCGAGATGGTCGGAGAAATCCTGCTGTAACGAGAGAGGACCTCCGGGATTTTCCAGGAACAGTGAAGGATTTGATTAAAGCCCACGACGGTATTTAAGAAGCTGTGCGTCCTTAAAATTAGGACGAACGGGATGTTTTATAAAGAAGGGAGGCTACTACATTTTTCAGGAAAAAGATGTAAAATACAAGTTCGTGCTTGAGATTAAAATGAGATCATAAATTTCGGGAATATTGGATTGGATTGTAAACAAACTACTGAATGACTAAGAAGCTAAAGATCTTGAGGCTATGATGGGGAAGCCATATATTCATCACACAGGAAAAAACAGACCATCGGAAATTTTCAGTGGAAAAAAAAACCTACTGGAAAAGCATCCATCCTTCTAATACCAAACATTGTAAAATGCTGCAGGGTTTTGAACAGAGGTTTGGAGGAAAATGGACTCTATCTCAATGTTCCTGTGAGTAGCATGGTTCAAGACCGTGGTGCCAAAGAGAAGAAACTCCAGTTACAGCACAAAGCTTGGCTATTTAATGAATAACATTTAAATAATCATAATAATTTATGTAAATGTTGTGTATGGTCTTTTTCTTTTAAGAGAATACTTAATTATGGTTATAAACTAGAATGCAAATGTCAGCGTTGATGATGTAAAAGTATAGTTTTCAAGTGGGAATGTTAAAAGGAGGGGGAGGTAAATAGAATGGGAGTGGTGTCCTTGTAAAGGGGGAAGTTGAAAGATACAGTCTCAGTGGTGAGGAGAATGGTGTTTTGTTAGAGAGTAGCCATAGTCGCTAAAACAGCAATGTAACTATATTAATCGGGGAGGAGAGTGAAAGAGAACAGCAGGAAGCCAGTTAAGAAATGCCTTAAGACGGAGAGTCAGAGTCTCAAAGAGAAAAACAGACTACCTCGTGTGTTTGAATGTAGAGCTGAGATTTTTAGTGTTTCAGGGAGTCTGGATAGTGGTCTGCAAGTTTTTAAAAAATAAGAAAGCTGAGGGCGTTTTGAACCCCAGGAAACATTTTAAATTGTTAAAAGAAGTACACTGCATACCTCAACTGCAAATACTACTAGTCATAAAGTCAGTCATAGTTATGTGAACACCAAACACAGATAAAACATGATTATGGAATTTGGGGTGCTGGAGAGGAGAGGTGTGTGTCATGGGGGAGAATCAGAGAAAAAGCAGTATTGAACATGTTATTTAAAAACTGCAATAAGAAACAGCTAAGAGTTAAACGTGGTTGTCTGGAGAAAACAGAGATGGGTAGAGAAAAGGTAGAGGGTTGCTGTTGAAAATTGAAAATAGCCTGTCACCTCTGATTTTTATTTCAACACCAGTCTAACAGTATTATTTTGATTTCTCTTAACTGTCTATAGTTATTTGATTAGTTATTTCACTTAAGTGAAATTTATTTAAGTTAATTTTTAATGTAGTTGAAATGTATGCCATTGGCTAAGAGCCACCAGGGTGAAAGGATGGGGTTTTTAAGTTAGCAGACCCCTGTTAAAATGCAAGCTCTAGTTTGGTGATCTTAGGTGAGTCCATTCATCTGCCTCAGCCCCAGTTTCCTCAACTATTAAATATGGGTAAAGTAGCCACCTTGACCGGTCAGTCTGAGAATTAAAAATAAGCCTGCTTTAGTGCTCAATATATGCACAATAAATAGTATTTGTTGTAACAGTATCTCAATGTATGAATAAAACTTAAAACTTACTCATGGAATGCCTACGTTTCCAGTGGAGATTTTCAGTCCTTACGAAGATATGGAGGGTAGTAGCCCTAGGAGTGTGAGGAACAGCCTCCAAGAAGATTCTGGTGAGACCTTTGAGCTGAAAGGAGCTATTATCTACCAAGGTAAAGATTTATACTACTTGCAGTGTTCTATATTTTCACTAATTATGTCCAAGAGACAGACAACCATACTCTAGGGGTATAAAATAAGCAGCCCATCTGCTACCATGTCTGGATATTAGTCATTGTTCTTCCTGCCCTTCACTCCTCATCCCCAGCCACACTGTTGAGCACGTCCTTCTCTTTCTACTTAAATTTCCTTCTGTCCTACCCTTCCCTCCCCAGTCCACGGTTACTCTGCCCGAGTTTTAAGGCTAAGCTTCGATGTCACTATTTCCATTAAATTTTTCCCGGATACCTCTGACTAGATTAGAGAGTTTGTTTTACTCTGAGGGTTGTGTTAATGTCATAGGTTGCCCTATTTTTGCCTAATTATTCATTAATTATCAGATTTTTTAATATGAAGTAAGACATTTCTGAAATCTCCTTGGTAACTACGTATTGCTGTGCTAAGAGTACAGGAACTATGGTATTTTAGTCTAAAATGTCACAAATGTAATTTGATAGCAAGGGACTTTGGATGTTGGGCCTCACTATTCTCGAGATGCACTGCTGTCTCAGTTTGTAACATTAGAGAACGTGATTGCCATGAGTCCTGGTGTGGTCAGATATGAAGATGCTCCTCCCTTCCACCTTTTTTCTTCAGCTCTGTCTTCTGTTACACTGAAGAAGCTAACACTGTGTTGTACAGCCTGGAGTGTCAGCAAATATATAGTCGGAACTGAGTGAAAGCTCCTTGGTTTAACAATTATTCTTCACAATTGTTCTTAAACCTAGATGTGTATTTTTCTTCCCACATGATACAACTCAATGAAGTTTCCCAGGGGAGAAAGCAGTATTTTTGCCCTGAGTAAACCAATTCTGATTTATGAGTGATTTCATTCCTCTTGGCACCCTTTCAGGTAACATCTGTGAAGCCAAAGATTTTGTTTGTCCCCTTCTGTCTCCCCTAGAACATTGTCTATTCCAAAATACATAATATTGTTGAATGAATCCCAAATTAGTTGGTTTTTCCACAAATAGTTATTAGTCAGTAAGGGAAGTAAAGATATCTTTGTCCCTGATATTAAGGTGGTCTACTTAATTGTTCATAAATTGAGATTTGTTTCAGTCCATCATGAATATTGATTGGGCCAGGGATTTTTCAAGCATGACAAAGCAAAGAGGTGGTGTAATTCTGATCAATAAAGAGAAAAACTTGTTTATGAAGTGTAACTAATAAGAATGATGGGAAGTAGTAACTGGTAGAGTTTTAACTATGAAAGGGAAATACTGAGCATAGTAACATAAATGTTTGGGAATAATAATTTGTTAAAATTGAGAGTAAGGACACATATAATTACTTGGCTAAAAGAGCATATTACTATCAGCATTTTTAAATTTATTAAGGCTTTTATACCAGGAACTATGAAAAGTTATTTACATTTAAAATCTCCATAATTCTCATATGTGCCCTATAAGGAAGGCAGTTTCAACTTTATTTTTCAGAGAAGGGAACTGGGACATAAAGAGTTTAAATAACCTCACAAGGTCATAGGGACGGGCCAAGCTGCAATTGAATCTCACATTTATTCTTAAAGATACATTTGACTGGGGCTTTAATTTTTTTTTACTTTAAGTAATTCTGAATAACCCTGTTTCTTTTCTCAGATTTTCAAACAGAAGTAGTACCTAGGTAATAGTATCTTACTTATTGAGGGTTTTATGTATTAGACTATAAGTATTCAATATGACTTGGTGTATAAATTCAAGTAATTTACACCGTGCTGCCCAAAGTCATTTGCCTTTTCCGTGAGGGAGGGAGGGGTTGGGGAGACAGGGAAGGGCGCTTTCTGTAGGATGGAAAGGAGTGGAGATGGGGTAATCGTGAATTTTGAAGCTGTGCCCGTCACTGCCCTGAGGAGGCCTGACTAAATTGTATTACAAAATCTTGCAATCATATCTCAGTGGAGGCTTTTCTTGGTGGAGCATCAATAGCACTTGATAGAGTCAAGAAGAAAATAGGGCTTACACATGGAGACAGAAGGGGATGGGAATGGAAATTTGCCGGGGTGTCCAAACCAGCCCGCAGGCCACATGAGGCTCAGGACGGCTAAAGATGCAGCCCAACACAAAATCGTAAATTTACTCAAAACATTACGAGATTTTTTTGTGATAACATGTCACAGTGTATTTAATGTGTGGCCCAAGACGACTCCTTCCAGTGTGTCCTGGAGATGCCAAAGGTTAGACGCCCCTGGTGTAGGGATATAGGGGCAAACGGAGAGGGAGAGAAAAATGTAATGCCAGGAACTTTGAACCTGGAAAGTAGTCTGAAGAGAGGACTTAGAAGTTTCCAGGCAATTTGATCAAGGAAAGAACCCTTGCAATAACTGTCAGAATTCCCAACATTTGGGTTTGATTGAGTCACATCAATCCACTTCTTAGATTATCATGATATGTGGAATTTCCTTGCAGTTTTTACAAAAACACTTGATGGCCTGTTGCCCAGTAGGATTACCACCAGGCCATGTCATGAATCTTTGCAGTAGAAGTCAATGCCACCTCCACCCTAATCCCCACAAATACAAATCTCAGCAGTGCTCTTGGGATCATTGAAAGGCCAAAGAACATTATTGAGTGCCTGCGACAAACGAAAAGAAGACACTATGGAATCCTTAGTAATTTCATTTGCAGTTCATCTGAGGCCATCCCTTCCAGTCTCTGCCCAAACTAGGTTCTGCAGCAAACACGAAATTCTTGACCATTCTTAATGGTTTTCAAGTACGAAGTACATAGATTTCTTCACAGGTATTGGAGTGCATCAATGAACAGTAAAGAGGAATATAGGTTATTCATATATTGAGTGAAGTAGTTTGGGTATACCTTTTTATAAGAATGAAAAAGAAAAATTAAACCACAAAACCAAAAGGCAAAAGTCACTGGTGAAACACTGTACCTGGAGTGTTTTGGCTGTGAAATTGGTGCAGTAATAGAGACTATAACCAATGAATAAACAAAAATGTTTAATTTGCAAATAGAGCTGGGTTTTTTGTTTTGGTTTTTTTTTTTGTTTGTTTGTTTTTCAGAAAACTTTTAGCTTTTTAATTGAGGAAAAAGAAAACTCTGAAAGCATCTTAAACTGAAGTCAAAGAAGAATGTAATAAAAGTCTTAAAATTCAAAGGTGAGACTAGCTCTAAACAGGAAAATAAATTATTTTTAAAACTAATTTAAACATGGGCTAAGGAATGGAGGTACCAAGTTAAGATAGTGCCTCTGCTTTATGAAGCTATATCTACATTGGGTTCCCCAAAATTGCTAAAATTGAAAATAGCCTGTCACCTCTGATTTTTATCTCAGAAAATAACCACCCCCTTCCAAACAACATATGATCTAATTTTTGTCCAAATGTATCAAACCAAGCATCTGATTGGGGTTTTTTAAATGTTTTTTTCCTGGGCAATCCAGCACAATATAGACCTCTATAGACAGCATTAGCCAATGCCACAATGGAGTGGACGGTGTAAGTACAGGTTTTGCGGATGGCCCCCTCATGTCTGTACTCAATGAAGGCAGCCCCTGACTCAGAGGACACGAGGGTTAATCAACAGCAGCTGACAAAGCACCTGAACTATGAGCATTACTCTCTTTGAAATCTGTATTGAACCATCTACATTCCCACCAAAACCTTTTTTCAGTAAAGTTCAGGACAACATGGCCTAAATGCTAAAAT